TGGCCAGGCTAGTCTTGAACTCCTGGCCTTGTGATCCACCCACCTCAACCTCCCAAAGTGCTGGGACTACAGGCGTGAGCCACTGTGCCCAGCCATCTAACCAACCTTCTTACAGCCTCACCCAAGCAGCCAATGGAAGCAAGCTAGAGACACACACAACACTGCCTTAATTATCCTTGCCTGTTCCCTTTTAGATTCTGCATCTCTCTGACAGTTGAATCCTGAAACTCTATTGCTCTGTCTTTTAATGTTGCCAGCATTAGGAAAGGAGTGACCTTGACACCTTGCTCCTTGTACTGAACTTACAGCTTTCCTCAGGATAGTGCAGAACTAAAAGATTGGCAGAGATACTTGTGGCTAGAAATATCTCCACTGAAGACAGTTATAAGAACAGGTGCAAGTTTCCATAGGCACAAAAAGTTCTGCAAATGTGCATGAGCTTACTGTCATTGGAGGAGGTGGGCTTTGAGCATTACGTGGGGACCAGTCCTCTCCAGTGGCGAGACAAAAGCAATGTGGTTTGACTGCAACCCTAAAACCTCCCAGGCTCCATCTGTTCCCAGGAGAGCATTTAGCTTGTGTCTTCCCAGCAATAATGAGTCTGCTTCAGGAAAGAGACTTAATTGTCCCATTTACCTGCTCTGGTTCACAGGATCACACTGACAAAGATCACAGCCTCTTTTTAATAGGAGAAACTGACAGCAGAATGAATATCATAGAGCCACTACTTGGAAAAATGACATTTGATGCTTTACCCTTCCTAAAGATTGCACATTTCACAGCCTTTTACTCTTAAGCCCACTGCAAGCTCCCCTTTGCTTTGTATTTTTTCTATTTATATTGTAGAATAACTCACTAAACATATTTGAACACTTCTGCAATGCTGCCCAATTTAAGCCTGGGGATATAAGAAAAGAAACAGAAACAGAAAATATGGATTCAATGCTCACTACATGCTGCAGGCCATGAAAAATATCAAAACCATAAAACATGGTCCCTGATCTCCCTCCAGGAGATTACAATATACTTGAGTAAATGAAAAATGAAATAAGAAAGTATTTGAACTACAGTTCAGTACACTAGACAAAGAGGGCCACAAGGCAGGAAATGATTAATTTGAAAATGATTGGAACGGGCTGTAATTGGTAATGAGAAATGTGTATTTGCTCTTTTTTGAAATCAGGGCCTGCTTTACCATGTTGACTTCCTCTAAAAAGAGGTATTGTCTGGGCAAAGGGCAGAAGGAAATCTTTTTATTCACATCCTGATAAGAATCAAGATGATGTTTCTTGTATCAGACTGCCCTCCTTACCGGCTTACAAACCTGGCTTTCTTTGGGGAAACACCAAAAGGAAGATGTTCTGGGAATCTGATGAGTCATAGTGAGAAGACCCATTTTTGTGTCCTCACAAACCCCAAAGGGTCTGGACACGGTGGCTCACGCCTATAATCCTAGCACTTTGGAAGGCTGAGGTGGGTGGATTGCTTGTGCCATGAAGTTGAGATCAGCCTGGGCAAGATGGTAAAACCTCATCTCTACTAAAAATACAAAAAATTAGCACAGCATGGTGGCGTGTGCCTGTTGTCCCAGCTATTTGGGAGGTGGAGATGGGAGGATCACCTGAGCCCAGGAAGTTGTGGCTACAGTGAGTTATGATCGCACCACTGCACTCCAGCCTGGGCTACTAGAGTGAGACCCCATCTCAACCAAACAAAAGACCTCTAAAGGAAGGGGGAAGTCAACACTACATTGTATCTTGAAAGGGATGGCATTGGTGTTTTTGTGAGAAGAGGAAGCAGTCCTGCAGGTCTGAGGTACATGGTGGGCAGAGAAATTTGGATGAGTTTTCGATAGTGTTGATGGACAATGAGATACTATTTCAAAGTCTCACATGACTTTGTGACTGTGTGAAAGCATGGGAGGCTGTTGGAAGGAAAGGAATTGAATCAAGATGCCCTTTTCCCATCCCTTTACCTACATAACTGATTGATCAGCACCCTTTTTTGTGAGTGAGGAACTTAAAAGGGGATAGATTTCCTATTTTTAAAAAAATCTCATTAATATGTGTGCTTTTTTTCTGATTAATACATTTGAGACTTTTAATGAATCACTAAGTGTGTAAAAACAAAACTAGGAAAATCTCTGTCCATCAAAGTGAAGAAAAGGCAAGGAGGTTTACCCTCTGTTTGAAGCTTTCAGTAAGAAATTAAAGCCCAAACAAGTATGTGAGTTCAAATGTATGTTACTTAAATAGTGTAGTAATCAAAGTAAAATTTTTCCATACAAAAATTCATGCATTGAAAACTCCTAGAACCATGGCAGAAGCAAACCCAGAAGCTCTCTATAGTGATGTTTCTATAGCCTAGTGTTCTTGGAGTCCCATGGGGTTAAAGGGAAAATAATTCTGCAGAAGTTTACCTCATGGTCAAAAATTATAGACGTCACAAGGAAGTAACCCACCATGAGAGTCAGAACACACAACAAACAGAGGAATGAGAATTCCAACAATTAAGGCAGGAGGAGGAGCAGGGGGGAATAATCTGAAAAACTATAGGTTTAAAATTATTAAATATATAAAAGTTTTAAAAATCATAATGAAATTCTGGGATACTATGATAAAAAGAACAGGCAGAACTATAAAAGAACCAAATGAAGATCACAATTAAAATAAATAGGTTAAAATTAAAACATAAATATTACTAACCAAAGAACAAATTAATGGGAAAATATATCTACTGGAAATCACCCACATGCAGCACAGAGAGAAAAAAATGCAAAATATTAAAACAAGGTGAATAACCAAGAGGATAGAATGAAAAGGTCCACAGTATATTAAAGTTTTCAGGGGAAAAAAAGAGATAGGACTATTATATGCCATTAGGGAATTGCAAATTAAAATAATGAGCTAGCACTACACCCCTCTGAGAGTGGCTAACATCCCAAACACTAACACTGACAATGATAATCAATGGTGGTAAGGGCGTGGAACAAGAGCAACTCTCTCATTCATTGTTGATGGGAGTGCAAAATGGTACACAGCCACTTTGGAAAAAGGTTTGGCAGTTGACTACAAAGCTAAAACACAGACTTAGTGTATAATGTAGTAATAATGCTCCTAGGTATTTACCCAAATGAATTGTAAAATCTGTGTACCACATCAATGAAAGATGTTAATAGGGAAAACCGAAGGGGGTGGGGAGAGGTAGTATATGGAAACTCTCTATACTTTCTGTTCAGTTTTTCTGTAACTATAAAACCACTGTTAAAAAAAATCTATTAACTTTTTAAAAAAGATACGACAGGAAGAAGTAATATTCGACATCATAGTAGGTAAGTTTTTGCCAGAATTAAAGTTGTAAGTATTCAGATTGAAGAATCATACTGAGTCCAGAGCAGAACAAATAAAACAAACCCACACTTAGATTTCACACCAAAGATAAAGTGAAGTTCTCAAAAGCAACTAGAGAGAAAATGTAGATTGCATAGATCAATCAACTTTTCAACAACTGCCATCCAGATCAGAAGAAAATTTAACATTCTGAAAAGGTCAAGAAAAAATAATTGTCAACTTTGATTTTTATATTTAGCCATATCACCCAAGAGTGAAAACAAACCAAAAACAATACATGATAATTTCACCTAACTCAAAAAAGACCTTTATTAAATCAATCATTATGATTGACTTTTTCAAAAAGAATTGATATAAACATTTATTTTCTTAATTTTTCTCTGCATGCCCCCATTACATCTTAGAGATAATGTGTATACGTACACATATAAGATATAGTCATACTTTTCATTTAACATTGTATGTATCTTCCTTGATTTTTACTGTCCTTGAAAGATCATTTTTAAAGGCTGACTCTTAGTCTAAGTGCCATAGTTTAGTGAATTGCTAGACAGTTAGTGTAATTGCTAGACGTTTAGATCAGAGAGTTTTCCTCTAAATGGCAACGGATAAAATTCACATAAAAGAGAGAAAGAATAATTCTAAGCATGCCTACTATTTCCCCCCACACACCCCCATTGGAAAAAACCCACCTGGTTCTTTAATTGCCTCCTGGAGTTGCCGATGGGGATAGTTTAGTTTGCAAGGGGCAATTCAGAACCAGCTGGATATATCTTTTCAATTAAACTTTTGTCCCCTAAGTATACAAGTCATGTGTTACTTTCCTGAATAATCCTGAATGTTCTAAAGAGAGAGAAAAAAATAAACAAATATATTTGAGGATCGCCATATGCCGGGCACTGTGTTAGGCATTTTCTTCACAAAAATAAATAGTAGCAATAGATACTCCTTATGAAAACTTATTATGATCTGGGTCCTATAGGGATTTGACACCTTCTGATCTCATTCGATCCTCATGGCAACTCTAGGAAGTATGTCCTATTATTAATTATGCCTGTTCCACAGATAGGGTAACTGTATCTCTGAGGTTATGCAGCAAGCAGATGATCAAGTCACAATTGCAATGAAGTCTTTTTACTGTTACATGTTGCCCTTTTTACTACCATGCCTTGTTCCAAGCTTGGGTGGGTGTTGGGGGTAGGGGTGGGAGAAAAAAAGCCAGGTGAGAAAAACATAGTAATGACCCCCCCCCCAAAAAAAAAGCAAAACTCCAAAAAACAAAACCAGGAACTGTGCTAAGTTATATATATTATACATGTATATAATATATAAATATGTTTATAGAGAAAAAGTTTGCTCTATTCTCTCTAGATAGATAGATTAAATACATAAATTTCATCCTCACTGCAACAATATTGTATAGGCTAATATATATAAATTTCACCCTCACCACGACAATATTAGGTAGGCTTTGTAATTATTATTATCTTCATTCAAGAAGTGGGCAAATGGAGACCCAGCAAGCTCAGAAACTTGCCTTAAGGTTACATAGCTGTGAGTTGCACATCGTCTGTTCCAAACCCAGAAGCATCTGCCCCAGAGTGCATGTTCTTATCCTCACTGCCTGTGAATGTTGTGTTTTTTTTCCAGGTGAGATGGAGGAGCTGGAGACCCTGTGGCTCACAGGGATCTGCCACAATGAGAAGAACGAGGTGATGAGCAGCCAGCTGGACATTGACAACATGGCAGGCGTGTTCTACATGCTGGCCGCGGCCATGGCCCTTAGCCTCATCACCTTCATCTGGGAGCACCTCTTCTACTGGAAGCTGCGCTTCTGTTTCACAGGCGTGTGCTCCGACCGGCCTGGGTTGCTCTTCTCCATCAGTAGGGTCAGTATCCCTGGCAGCTACTTCCTTGCTCCGCAAGCAGACTTAGAAAAGCACGTGGGTTCTTGACGTCTCAGTGGGGTCTGCATATCCTCTCCTTACTAGCCCTTCTTGGGTTTGTCAAAAGAGCATCCAGATTTTGTACATTCATAAGCCAGGGGTTGCAAACCTAGATGACTATGGAAGGCAGAAAGGAAATGGGAGTGGGTACAGCAGGCTAGGCATGAGAAAAATAGCAAGAATGGGGTGAAACAGCAGCTAAACCTTGGCAACAAAGTGAGAGAATGATAGGGAATACTGAGGACTGTGGCCAATTGTATAATGTTTACCTCACCTATAGGGGACAGCCATCGTCAACTTCTGTTGAGTATTGTCTTATGGGAATGTAGGGTCAATATTATCAGGTCTTCTGGTTTTTTTTAAAAGAGAAATTGTCATCTGTTTTTATGAGAAACCTTTCCATTTTTAAATATTAGTAACTAATCCCATTTAAAAAATTTTCAAGAACACATGGGCCAGACACAGAAAGCCTGGGGCTTCCATCACTAGCACCCAGGTATGCTGTATAGCACTACTAATGCTGTTATGCAAGATGTTACAATTTGCACATGCATTGTAACAGAACATGCACAACAGAACAAAATCTACTTGCAATGCTATGCAATATGTATACACATCTAACAAAACATAAAGAGCATGCGCAATCCAACAGCACATGAAATGAAACACAGATGTAAAGTAACAGAAGAAAATGCACACATATCAAGCAGAAAACAAAGTATACATTCAACCCAATATAAACCACAGCACAGAATACACATGCTATTTTGAGCTCCTGTGCAATACCGGAAAACCCCTTTTTGTGCAGCACAATATGTCCTGTGTATACTGCCATCAAGGTACATGTAACGTAAGTCATCAATATGGTAATGATCATAAAAATGCTTATATTTATTCAGCATTTACAGGTACCAGGCACAATATAAGGACTTTATATTCATCTCATTTAATCTATAACCAGATCTATGAGTTATGTGCTGTTATTTGTTCCAGATTATAAGTGGCAAAACTTAAAGGTATGAGGTTAAGAGAGTTACCCTAGGCTGCCCAGTCAATAAAGTGGAGCCAGGACTTTAATCCAGATAGTATGGCACCAGCCAAGGCCAGCACTCTTCCTCAAGCAACAAACATCACATATAAGCAATGCAAGAGATTTGATACAGTTCATACTATGAACATATATGTACATGCAACTCACATAATAAACTATCACAGGCCAGGCACCATGGCTCACACTTATAATTTCAGCACTTTGGGAGGCCAGGGTGGGGTGATCATCTGAGGTCACAAGTTCAAGACCAGCCTGACCAACATAGTGAAACCACATCTCTACTAAAAATACAAAAAATTAGCTGGGCTTGGTGGCACATGCCTGTAGTCCCAGCTACTCAGGAGGCTGAGGCATGAGAATTGCCTAAAACCAGGAGGTAGAGGTTGCAGTGAACCAAAATCTCACCACTGTACTTCAGCCTGGGTGACAGAGTGACTCTGTCTCAAAAAAAAAAAAAAAAACAAAACCAATAATTAAATAAATAAATGACCACACTTACAACACAACTTAGACACATATCTGCATTATATTAAAAACATATACATGAATATTTTTCATGCATCTTCCAGCACAGTATAATCTATCTACCTCTTATCTAACTGCCTATTCATCCATTTTAGCCCTCTATGCATCCAATCTATTTATCCAGTCATCTCTGTTATTTGTCCACCTTGGTGGCGTCTTTTTTTTTTTTTTTTTTTGCTTTTGAAGAGCTTCATTAATTAGGATTTTTAAAATGGTAAAAAAAAAATTTTGGTTGAAAACATCTAATTTTATTTGCTAATGTTTACTAGGAAAGCTAAATAATTGCTTTAAAACAAATTTGCATATTCTTAGCATTCTTAGCGTTTGCTAGTTTCAAGAACTTTGGGGAGATTCAGAAGGTACATATTAGTTTAGTGAGGAAGATTCATTTTCTCCGTTCAATTGCACTCCAAACTCGGATTCTGTGCGAATACATATTTACTAATTAGCTTGATGGCATCTAAACACACAGATTACTTAAAAATAACAACGTATGTGCATATAGCTAGGTATTATGCCAATTTTAAGCTGATTCTCCCAGCCAATTACCAAAGGATTTTCATATCCAAATGATTCTAGGATTATCACCAAACAAATGCACACTGTTGCATTTACTTCTAAATCTTGCTTGTTTTTGGAAGCACATTTCCTCTCTCTAAAACACCACTAAGGAAGCCAAGTTGATGTGATCAACATTTTAAGAAATGAACTGAATCCCTGACTTCCTTTCCAAAGGATGGGAATGGAAGTCAAACCGGGCAGCCCAGGGCAGGCATTGTTGGTAGAGTTCCTTGATCAGCTGGAATTTGAATTTTGCCCTCTCCATCCCTAGAGGAGAGGAGCCCAAGTTTTATGGGAGCAATGTAGGGACTTCTATGCTCCCTTGGGAACTCCCAGCCATCATTATTGCTTCAGAGGTTTCAGGGAGCCCTGCTTATGAGGACCCTCCTTCTTCCCAGATAATATGTCTTTTCAAGTAAGTGCAGCCTGATGTGTCTGAATAGGAAGATATCATACTGAGTGATACCTTCCTGCCTCTCTCATTACTTAGGGGTACTCAAAATAGTCTCATCCCCTGATGTGGTGCCCAGCAAAGCTCTGACTTTCTTTAAAAAAAAAAAAAAAGAGAGAGCCCTTCCTTTTAGTCAAGGGCTACTGCCACTGCTGAAGTTTATCTTCTATGGACATTCACACATATGCCATCTTACACATAGGTTTACATAGCATGGAGAGCACACACAGAAACAAAAGTGAATTCATTGTGTACACACAATCATTTTCTTTCACAAAATCTGCAGTGGGAAATTCCCAGGCAAAGAACCTACTTTCCACAAATTCAAGATTACAACTGCAGAATGAATTATGCCTCATGTGTGGATGAGGACTTGTTATTTCTAATCCTCATAATGCCCTCTGAGATTGACATGATCAGACCCCCATCCTATGGTTGGTGAAATTGAAGCCCCAAAGGTTACCTCTGTGGCTTTACCATATGTTTCCCTAAAGCAACAGGAAATATCTCACTTCATCTATCAAACTAGAAAAAGATATGAAAAAGGGAACTTGTCTGTTAATGTGAGGTTGGGTTGCAGGCTTTAGTCTACTTCAGAATTTAGGTGGTTTTTTTTTTTTTTTTCTTTTCTAAAAGACACTGATCCAGGATGTTGTGAAATTTACTCCCTCCCCAAGGCAGGTTTGGTTCTGCACAGAAACTGGATCTCTCCATTACCAGTACTTCTCCTTTCAGCACGATGAATATCCAGTCAATAGATGCAGAGCTATTACCATGCAGCAGATTTATATAGCCCTCCTCATGGGCTCAACATTCCTAGGGAGGCCCCTGCACAGTGCAATGCAAATACAAGCTAGAGATACATGCATGCCTGGCACTGCAGAGGGAGAAGGCCAGCACTCCAAAAAGGCATTTGTTTGACACTGGAACCAAGCTTCTCCCAGGGTGGTGGCCCTTGGCTTTTACGACTTACAAAAATGCAACCTCCTGCCTTTGGGATGCTCTTTACTTTTGTTTTCTCTCCAAAATGCTTTCCTTCCATTTAGAATAAAAGAATTCACTGTCATCGGCAAAATAGAGTTGCCTCAGTTGTCTCATGAAAAGTGAGGAATGGGAGACATAGCAAAGCCAAAAATCAGGGGAAGGAAAACAGGCAGCCTTTCCAGTAAGATCTGATCAGGGAGGCTGGAACATAACGGACAAAACCTTATGCTAACCCACTACTGGGATCCACAGATATCAGATGCTTTAGGGATGGGGTCCAGGCTCAAAGGGACTGAGGACAGTAGACTCATGCCCCACTGAGAATATTCTGAGAGGTCAGGCACCGTCTAGGAGAGCAGAGAAAATTGCCTGGAACAACACCTTGAGTCATCAACACTAATTTTATCTGACTCTGAGCCCACAGCGGGACCAAGACGGCATCTTATTTCCACAACCCGTAAAATGTAGCTGGGATCTATAAATAATAGAGAAGATAAAATAAAGACAGAACTGTTGCAACTAAGAAAGAAACTCTATCCCAGGGATTTACTTGGTTTCCAAGGTAGGGTTTGGTCTGCTTGTCTAAGCAGAAAGCCAAAGTGGCTTCCAAGAGCAAATCGTAAGCAGTAGAGAGTGGCATGCATTTATTGAAGCTTCAACCATATGGTCACTGCATGCTTAAGCTCCTGTGAAAGGAGAGAGGGACAAGGTGATGGTAAAGAAGGGAAGGTCAGAGATGACTAGGCAGTTTGTCCAGCTCACATGTACTGACCACCTATGGTGTCAGGGGCTTTTTTACATTATTTTACCTTGCCCTAGTGCCCAACTTAAGAGGGCATAATTTCCATTTTCCAGATGCAGAAACTGAAGCTAAAATAGATGTGGCTTATGCAAGGTCACAGAGCTAATCCATGATGGAGCTAGGACTCACATCTAGTGGATTCCAGGCCTCTGGATCTTCCTGTTATTCTTTAATATGCATTCCCTCTCCTCAACAGCCCTTCTAGAAGATGGATCAGCTCAGTTGGAGAATGCTATCATCAAAACCTTGGGTACACCAGTGTGGGCAATATAGCAAGACTCCATCTCTAAAAAAAATTTTTTAATTATGCAGGCTTGGTGGTGCATGCCTATAGCCCTAGCTGCTCAGGAGATTGAGGCAGGAGGATTGCCTGAGCCCAGGAGTTTGAGATTGCAGTAAGCCATGATTGCACCACTGTACTCCAGCCTGGGTAACAGGGTGAGACTCCATCTCTAAACAACCAACCAACCTTGAGTAGAGACTGGGTCCACCACTTTGACTCTTTTCCATGGCCTCACCAGGCCAATCAACACCTGGGAACTGCCTTAGCTATGCTGCATGAGTCCCAGGAAAACCAGGGATGAGAGGTAGCCACCAACAGCCATCCTCCCATCTCCTGCAACATAACTCATCTCCCTGATCACTTCTGTGGGCCTCCTCCAAATAGAAAGACAGCCAGCTCATCTTGGCAGTCAGAACATGTTACTCTGAGGGTGGAGGGGTGGAGGGCAGTTCTTAGACTCTCCAGGTGGCAGAAGGGAGTGTGTTAGAATTAAAGTACAAATTTAAGGGAAAAAATATTTTTAAAACTTCTGTTTTCATAAAATGGGAAGAAAAGGCACAGACCTCAGCTGATTCTGACAAATAGAGTCATACTAATTTTCAACCATAGTGGGAGAATCCCTCTGGGTCAGAGTATAAGATTATTGGCTGGGCGCAGTGGCACACACCCGTAGTCCTAGCACTGTGGTAGGCCAAAGTGCACAGATCACGAGGTCAGGAGTTCGAGATCAGCCTGGCCAGCATGGTGAAACCCCATCTCTACTAAAAATACAAAAAATTAGCCGGGTGTGGTGGTGTGCACCTGTAAGCCCAGCTAGAGACGGAGGCAGGAGAATCACTTGAACCTGGAAGGCAGAGGTTGCAATGAGCCGAGATTGTGTCATTGCACTTCAGCCTTGGCAACAGGGCAAGACTCTGTCTCAAAATAATAAATAAAAAGATTGTTAGATTACAAGGTTAGGTGAGAAAGACATAGGGTAACATAACAGGTTATACAACTCTGTACTATGTGAAATACATGGCTCATTTGTAAGATTTCCACATCCACAGCCTGGATGCTCCAGCAACTCTCGAAGCAGTGAGGGCAGGTGCAGATGTTATTTTGTGGCAGGACAAACAGCCAAGCACACATTATACATAGAAGGAGACCACAGATAAGTTTGCAGGAAGGCAGGAAAGGGCATAATGTCAGTGTCCTGGGCCTCAGGGGGCCTTCATCAACCATGAAGCCTGGGGTAGAGAGGATCAGAGAAAAAGCAGCTCAAACTTGCAGCTCTAGGCTTTTGTATTTACGGTTCCTTGAAGGCTGGAGTGAAGAGACTGTCTACTACAAGAAAAATGTAGCAGTGCAAATGAGTTGAGGCTGTCACAGTTCCGTGAGCATCCCTGCGGGGTGAGCTCATCCCCACCATAGGGGACTGATGGAGCCACCATGATCAGAGTCCACAGTTAATCACACATACTTTCCTGTAGTTTATGCCAAAGTCAGCAGCCATGGCCAATTCTGCCTTACAAACTCCTTCATGGGTTGGCTTCCTGTCTGCCTTGGGAATACCAGGTCAAATCCTGCGGCCTTGATCTGACTGTTTCCTGTAGGTACGGCTGCTGAAATCTGGGGTAGGAGTGGGAAGAAGCAGGGGAGGCCAAAGATCAAAATGTTCCAGATGTTCTTTTGCCTGTTATTGTGGCATGAATCAAGGGCTCTTCCCTTCAAAACAGTTAAACAGCTACTTTTAAGTGAACATAAACAGTTGTTTTCTGGAAGGAAGAAAGAGTAGAAAAGGAAGAGACCTATAGATGGGGGTGCTTGTATTTGGGCTGCCTAGGAGCCCCTAAGTCATTCTATTCCCTGGATGGATTCAAAGGCGGTGTCACTGCGTCATCAGAACTCTTCATCATGACTGGTAACTAAAACCCAGTTCTAACTATGTTGAATAGACTCACATACAAACACACAAGGAATGGTTTGAGTGGATTAAGTAAAAACATTCAAGCGAGTGCTCCAGGGGTTCAAACCATGTCTTTATCTCTTGGGCTCTACTTTTCACTACAGTCGCTTCACTGATAGGCTCACACTCCCACATGATGGTAAGGTTGCAATTCCTTCTATCCAAGCATCTGTATCTATCCCACCAAAAAGAGTTTGATGATTCTCACATGAATTTCATGCCTTCCTTTAGATGAATCAATGTATATGTGGAAAGGAGATTTTCTGATTGGCCACTTAGGACACATTCTTTAATTGTTAGCTTTTGCATAACAGTAGAGGTAATTCCAGAAAAGAGTTAACAATGGATAATCCTTTCTTTCTCTCTTTCTTTCTTTCTTTTTTTTTTTTTTTTAGACAGAGTCTTGCTCTCCCTCCAGGCTGCTGGAGTGCAGTGGCACAATATCGCTCCCTTCGCCTCCGGGGTTTAAGCAATTACCCTGCCTCAGCCTCTTGAGTAGCTGGGACTACAGGCGTGCGCCACCATGCCCAGCTAATTTTTTTTATTTTAGTAAAAATGGGGTTTCACCACGTTGGCCAGGATGATCTCTATCTCCTGACCTCAAGATCTGCCCGCCTTCATCTCCCAAAGTGCTGGGATTACAAGTGTGAGCCACCGCGCTTGGCCATCAATGGATGATCCTTTCATGCTGACTTTGTTTTTCAATAGTTAACTCTCTGGTGCCTAAGCTTCAAAGATGATGCTGGGAAACTTTAATAAAAGCTTGAATTGGTGACCTGGGTACTAGGAGCTTCAGTTGTCTGTCTTTGTATGCCACTTTGGAGACACTGAGGCATTGACAGTTGTATGAGCGTTGGTTGATACTTTTTCTCAAACTCCATGTGTGATTCTTTGCAAAGGTGTCAGCTAATCTTGAGCCAGAGCAATAAGATAAACCCTATGCTTTGCAACTTATCTAAAACTTTTAAGAGATGTTATCAGAATTCAAACTGAATTTCGCTGTTTCTCCAGGGCTCCTGCAAGAAGTACATATCTCACCTTTGCAGGTAAAGTTCAAGTGCAAAGTGGTTTCATGTTCGCTGCTGCTGCTGCTGACGGTGCTTTATGTTACTCCCCCACAGGGCATCTACAGCTGCATTCACGGAGTGCACATTGAAGAAAAGAAGAAGTCTCCAGACTTCAATCTGACAGGATCTCAGAGCAACATGTTAAAACTCCTCCGGTCAGCCAAAAACATTTCCAACATGTCCAACATGAACTCCTCAAGAATAGACTCACCCAAAAGAGCTGCTGACTTTATCCAAAGAGGTTCCCTCATCATGGACATGGTTTCAGATAAGGGAAATTTGATGTACTCGGACAATAGGTCCTTTCAGGGGAAAGAGAGCATTTTTGGGGACAACATGAACGAACTCCAAACATTTGTGGCCAACCGGCAAAAGGATAACCTCAATAACTATGTTTTCCAGGGACAACATCCTCTTACTCTCAATGAGTCCAACCCTAACACAGTGGAGGTGGCCGTGAGCACAGAATCCAAAGTGAACTCTAGACCCCGGCAGCTTTGGAAGAAATCCATGGATTCTATACGCCAGGATTCACTATCCCAGAATCCAGCCTCCCAGAGGGATGAGGGGACAGTGGAGAATAGGACCCACTCCCTAAAGAGCCCTAGGTATCTTCCAGAAGAGATGGCCCATTCTGACATTTCAGAAACGTCGAGTCGGGCCACGTGCCACAGGGAACCTGACAACAATAAGAACCACAAAACCAAGGACAACTTTAAGAGGCCAGCGGGTTCCAAATACCCCAAGGACTGTAGCGAGGTCGAGCGCACCTACCTGAAAACCAAATCAAGCTCCCCCAGAGACAAGATCTACACTATTGATGGTGAGAAGGAGCCTGGTTTCCACTTAGATCCACCCAAGTATGTTGAAAACGTGACCCTGCCCGAGAACGTGGACTTCCCAGACCCCTACCAGGATCACAGTGAAAACTTCCGCAAGGGAGACTCCACGCTGCCAACAAACCGGAACCCCTTGCATAACGAAGAGGGGCCTCCCAACAATGAGCAGTATAAACTCTACTCCAAGCACTTCACCTTGAAAGACAAGGGTTCCCCACACAGTGAGACCAGCGAGCGATACCGGCAGAACTCCACGCACTGTAGAAGCTGCCTTTCCAACCTGCCCACCTATTCAGGCCACTTCACCATGAGGTCCCCCTTCAAGTGCGATGCCTGCCTGCGGATGGGGAACCTCTATGACATCGATGAAGACCAGATGCTTCAGGAGACAGGTAACCCAGCCACCCGGGAGCAGGTCTACCAGCAGGACTGGGCACAGAACAATGCCCTTCAATTACAAAAGAACAAGCTAAGGATTAGCCGTCAGCATTCCTACGATAACATTGTCGACAAACCTAGGGAGATAGACCTTAGCAGGCCCTCCCGGAGCATAAGCCTCAAGGACAGGGAACGGCTTCTGGAGGGAAATTTTTACGGCAGCCTGTTTAGTGTCCCCTCAAGCAAACTCTCGGGGAAAAAAAGCTCCCTTTTTCCCCAAGGTCTGGAGGACAGCAAGAGGAGCAAGTCTCTCTTGCCAGACCACACCTCCGATAACCCTTTCCTCCACTCCCACAGGGATGACCAACGCTTGGTTATTGGGAGATGCCCCTCGGACCCTTACAAACACTCGTTGCCATCCCAGGCGGTGAATGACAGCTATCTTCGGTCGTCCTTGAGGTCAACGGCATCGTACTGCTCCAGGGACAGTCGGGGCCACAATGATGTGTATATTTCGGAGCATGTTATGCCTTATGCTGCAAATAAGAATAATATGTACTCTACCCCCAGAGTTTTAAATTCCTGCAGCAATAGACGCGTGTACAAGAAAATGCCTAGTATCGAATCTGATGTTTAAAAATCTTCCATTAATGTTTTATCTATAGGGAAACATACGTAATGACCAACGTTCTGGAGGGTAAATGTTGGATGTCCAATAGTGCCCTGCTAAGAGGAAGAAGATGTAGGGAGGTATTTTTTTTGTTGTTGGCTCTTTTGCACATGGCTTCATGCCATAATCTTCCACTCAAGGAATCTTGTGAGGTGTGTGCTGAGCATGGCAGACACCAGGTAGGTGAGTCCTTAACCAAAAATAACTAAACACATAAGGGCAAGTCTCTGGGAAATGCCTACTAGGTATGTTGGCAATAATGATGCATTGGATGCCAATGGTGATGTTATCATTTCCTATATTCCAAATTCCATTAAGGTCAGTCCACCATGTAATTTTCTCATCAGAATGCCTAATGGTTTCTCTAATACAGAATAAGCAATATGGTATGCATGTAAACCTGACACAGACAAAATAAAAACAGTTAAGAATGCATCTGCACTGTAGTGAGATTGACATGTGCAAGAGATTAGGAAGTTTGGCTCGTAACAGTTTCAGCTTTCTTGTTATGCCTTCCATCACAGCCCAGGCTCACCCCAGGAACTCCAGGCTCCCCCAAAGAATAGCAAATCAGTGTGCTCATGGTGACTATGCTACCTTCATTATAGTTCATTTCCAAGACACATCTGGAGCCAAAGGCCCGAGGGACCCTCAGGCGGAGAGAGAGCTACAGGAATCTCTTTGGATGTTGATGTGTGTTTCTCTCACCCTCGGCTTCGATGGTCTTGTTCAGAGCTGCATAAACTAACACATTTATGTCTCCGAGCTCTAAGTGTGGATCTTCTGTCTGTGACACAGTGGCCATTGTAGTTTATCCTGAAGACGCCTATGTACGTAAGTTTGCATTTCCTCCCTTCTGGTGATGACTCAGGGTTGTATAGTATCTGTTACCCCTTCCCTTCCAGAGTGACCATAACTCGTTCAGTTTCCAAACAGCCATGTTGGTGTCCAATTAGCTGTGTATCGCTCTTCCCAGAGTTGTTAATGTGGTGACATGCACCAACAGCCGTGTGTCTACTGTGATCTGTAAGAAGTGCAATGCCATCTGTCTGCCGAAGGCTAGCATGATTTTAGGTTAATCTTCCTTCACATCAAGAAATTCTGTTCCACTCACTTCCACCCCAACCTCCTCACATCAAAAGCCTTCAACACATGAGACACTCTTGCATCTACCCTGAGTATCCTCCAAACTGTGGATAGACTTTAGTTAGACAGGTGATTTCTCCCTTCTGAATTATTCTCTCTATTGGTGACAAACTGCTTCATAACACCAACAGAGATATAGGGAAAATTCCTCAAAGCATTTGTCATTTCTGAGTCACCTGTATTATCCATTCTTATTCTTACTCACACCTGTGTGTATATGAAATGAAATGATACCCATTTTTTAAAAAGTTAGAGACAGAGAGGGGAATACTTATGCATGGGGAGCCTGTTAGCACAGTGCCTGCTACGAAAAAAAAAAAGTGCCCCCCACAAGATAGTTGCTATGTTATGACACTTTATCAGATCAGGATTTTCTAGTTTAAACATTAAATATCATAAAACCAGCAAATAATACTAACTAAACCTTTTATATAGCTCTACTCTGTTAATTAGTATATTTCATGTACATGAATATTTTTGAAGTATTTGGGATAACTAGCCATCTGTGTTTGCAGAAGACCTCAGTCTGTTTAGGATCATGCTAGGGAAACCTAAGCTAATATAGACTCATCGGGCCATTTCCTGGTTTCCTCCTGCATTCTGTTTTACGTTCTTGAAGAAAGGGATAAAGTGACGGGTTGAAAAATGATCCCATTTCTTCTCCTCATGGTGTGTGTTCTGTTTTGTATTATTTTCTTGCACGTGGGAAAGTGCCAGGGATGACTCTCTTAAAGCTCCAGGATATGTGGAATAGCTTCATCTTTGGGAAAGTACACCTGGCCTACAATGTTCCTATAATGATGAAAACTGGTTGCAGTCAATTTCAGTGTCAGTGGTAGAGAGACAGTGGGAATCAGTGGGCCAGAGGGTCTGTTCCTATAATGATGAAAACTGGTTGCAATAAATTTCAGGGTCAGTGGTAGAGAGACAGTGGGAATCAGTGGGCCAGAGGGTCTTCCTTTCATTTTTGAAAGGGAGAAGGGGCTGATTAGGTACTGGGGACACATGTGCTTGAAAATGATACTTTATTCCCGGATGCTGTACCTCTATTGCCCCAAGATCCAACAATAGAGAAGTCTGGATTGAAGGGCCTAGAATAGTCACCCCAACTTCTGATCCTAAATCTAAATTTCCGTGACTGTGTAGTCTTTCAGCCCTTTCTACCTTCTGCTCTTCTACTACGTTCCAGACCTGCATCCACCCCAGCAAGGATCACCTCCATTTCCTCACAATTCTGAGCTGTTTTGACATGAATGAATTAAAAAGTTTCCCCAGAATACAGATCAGTGATTTGTCATCAAGACAAAGAGGCTTTCTGTCTTCCTCTGACATCCTCTAAACCCAGAGGGCTGCCAAATGCCACAGAGGCCTTCAAGGAGAGTGAGAGTTATACTTGGACTGACTTCATCGGTCAAAAAGCCTTCCCCTAACAGCAGCATTATTTCAGCTATTCACCCCATACATCTCTGGATAAAGAAACTGAAAACATGGCATTTGGAAGAGCCAACAGTAATGTGAAAAAAAAAAAAAAACTATACTTTTTTTTTTATTACCCAAAGTGTTTTTTTTTAAATAAATAATCAGAAATTTTATGCTACATAAAGTTTTTGGTTTCCCTTCTCTACTAATTGACTCACTCTTCAATATGATGATCCCAAACCAAAGGAAAAAAAAAATCAAACACTGATCAGATGGTTAATTTCTAAGGGAAAGATGTAGAGTTATTCAAAAGTCATCTAAGTTAGCTCAGTTTTTGCAAAAATAATATCAGGAATGTAATGTCCAGTGGTAAATGGAACCCACAGTATGAGAAGTAACAAGAATTAAATAGGAAGCCTGGGACTATAGATCCATCACAAAAGATTCCTGCAACATATCCCAGCTCTGAAATCTTAGATTTGTTGATGGCAAGGAGCCCAAATCTCTGCACACAAATGCCTGAGTTCAGCTGGCTTAAGTCAGAGCTGGCATCCATAATGATATTTTGTTAACTCTGGTTTTCCCCACTTGAAAAGGACCCAGCTGGTCCTCAGATAGGTATACTTGAATGCAGATGGTTGGGTCTCTGTCCATGGATAATAGCACGCACATGCAACCAATTTGAAATACTCTGTGTAAGAGAATCTTCTAGAGCACAAACTCTACTTGAGAAACCTTTGTGTTTCTGGAAAGTGAGTTTCATCATCTTTACATCTGCAGGTTCTTAGGCCACTTATGGTTTCAATGCTCTGAGCTGGCAAGTCCCTAGAGGTCTATCTTTCTGCCAGGGAGACATGCAGGATTATAATCTCACCGCTCATTACTCTTATGTCCTCTGCAAATCTCTCTGCATTATTTTAGCCAGCACCATGACTGGGCATCCATGGATTACTCTTGGCTTTCTCTTCCCTGCTTCATAGGGTTCCTGAGAGTCTTAGTATTTAGCTTTTCTGGAGAAAGCATTAAAATTCACCCATTGCAGCAAAATCTGTCAAATCATTTCATGCTTATTTTCTGGGGAGAAAAAAAGAAAATTACACCTTGTTTACAAATGAAATAGTTTCACTTAAATGGGACTCTAGCCAAGGCAGTTAATTAGTCAAGAGATCCACGGCTGTCATATAGTCACACATTGTTTATTCTATTTGATATGTCGACCACTGATGTGTATTTAATATTCTGCATCCTTCTCAGGAAATGACAAATGCCCTGAATTATTTGCAAATAGAATTGCTAATGAAAAAGAAAAAAAAAAACTGTTGATGTTAATTAAATGGTGATTAAAAATTTATCTCCTTTAAATCTAAAAAGTGCAGCTTTAATAATCAGTTGTCATATAAATAAGTACCTTGTACTGAAATCCCTTGTGGTTTAAGACCTAAATAAACACTAATTTGAGACATCTAAATACCTTACAGAGGAGCTGGATATATTCATTAACATTATGCACATTCCTGTACTGTTTTTTGTGCATATCTGTTGTGCATGAATCCTTGAAAAGGGGACATGAGTTGTTTCTGTAATGGAGCCTGTTTGTATTAACCATGGCTATCATAGACGTAATTGGACTCAATGAAAAAAAAATTGAGTAGGTGGAAGCTAAATGTGTTAGTTGATATTTAATATGAGTGAAGGGTTCTATGTAAAGGCAATTTTCCTTCCAAAAGTACTGTTTATTTTCACTGGAGACAAAATTAGACCTTTCCAGATACCCCATCTCCTTTTGGTGAGCAGGGTTGAAAGTGATGTGGGGTCTATACTTGAAAAGTTCTCCCAATATGCAGTTACTGTTTCCCATTCAATCCCTATACATTGTACTGTGTTCATATCTAATTGTATCAGATGAGGTCAGCTTGCCACTTGATATAGATCAGAGATGATCAAATGCACTTATCCTGTGAATACAACTGCTTGTGTACACATGTATATAATATACATGCTTGATTTCTACAATTCACACATAAGTGTATTATCCAAATAAAATTGTACATATTGTAAAGTTTATGTTAAAAATTAAATGGTGATGATGGTATTAACACATGGAAAACCCATTCTGGCTATTTTTATGGGAGGATATTTCTGTAGAGAGGGCACTATATTTTTTTAATCTCAGTTGTAGGGAGGATGACGGAGCTTAAGTAGAATTTGGGTGTTGGCGTTCTTGGCCCCTTCTTTAAAAAACAAAACTCTGGGATGAGGGGAACAGAATATATTCTGCTCACATTGGCTCCTAAAGACAATGCTGATATGGACTTGTGTGTGATTTCTTTAAACCCTTCAAAGGATATAGATTTCCTATTTAAATTCCTTATCTTATTTCCTCACCTGCATTCTTTTCTGTGCCCAGCAGTACTTTCAGTATAGTATAAGCTAGAAGTGCCTGCCCAGAAGGGTCTTAGAAAACGTTTGTAGAACCACACCAAAAGTTAAGAGAAGGGAAGGAGAGAGGAGAAAATGAAGTTTACAAATGGGCAGTCGCCTATTTAAAATAATCAAATTAGAGAGTATCAGAGCAAGGATTAGATCCAAGACATGGTTCAATTTATGGCTCAGTTCTCTGACCAGGCTGATTTATTTCTAGATTTCTTTTAAGGGACACTCCTGAATACCTCTGGAATAAGAGGCAGAGATCCCCATAAAGCTGACCTGGCTTTGTATTTGTTTTATTTTTATTTATTTATTTATTTATTTATTTATTTTTGCTTCTTGCCCTAGACAGACCTACCCATGCTTCCTTGAATTTGGTTTTCCTTTAAACTCCCTCACAATCCCTGTCTTAAAGTTCCTAGAAGATAGTAAACTTTTTTCAGAGACCATCTCCTTAAGAAGAATCAACAAGGGATATTATTTAAAACCTCAAACTGAAGATAAAGGCTGGCAGTGACCACTGAAATAATTTAGTTTTATGTGCCATGCATTGAGGATAAACCAGCACATTGAGCAGCTAATAGAATTTCACTGAATGTCCACTTTACTTTGAAAGCCAGTTTGGGATTGTGAGGAGGGGATGAAAAATTAATGGAAAATACAGTCTCTTCCCATAAGTAGCTTATGGTTTAGAAGTTCAGTTCTCTAATACAAAAGATAACCGAGGACCCGTGAAATGCAAACAGAGACTAAACAGCAAAAATTAGAAATGACAACTAAAGTTGTTGCCATGAAAAAAAAATTAATCTGATTCTACGAGCAAATTTTCTTTTTTAAGAAAAAGTCCTTCCCCAAATTTTTAAGTAACTCTGGAGAATAGAGTTAGTGCTCCTGGAAATGCACTTGATTTATTTTAATCTTCAGAGAAAGTGCTTAGGAAACCCAGGAGCCGCTAACCAGGTGAACACCTTCACACGCCTACATTTTTGCACAGGCAGGCTTGGGTCTGGTTCCAAACCAGTTCTCCAATCCTTGCCAAATCATGCCTTCTCCCAGCCTTGCATTATGACACGTGCCTCAAGAAAAGGTTGAAAAAATTCCCCAAAGGATTAGAAAATAGACCATGATGTAAAAAGATGAAGCATTTCCCGAAAGCTTTTTTTGTTTGGTTTCGTTTTTGATGTTTGAAGAACCCTTTTGATAGATCAGGGTATGCATGTATCAGGGGAGGGTGGAGGGAGAGTTCTTTGTCAAGTTCCAAGTGCCTACTGTTGTGGCTGACAAAAGAGAAAGCATCAGGTTCCCTAGAGAGAAAATGGGGCAAAGAGATGACAAAAAGAACATAAGTGTATTTCAGGAAGTATGGCGAGGTGGAGAGGGAGCTTTTGTCACTCTGTCCATCCCATTCTGTGCGTTCTTGGAATGTTATATTTTCTGCTTATCGCAAGTACTTGCCGTGGACCTGCACCTGAATTTGAAAATATCAAAATATATCTAAATTGAGTGTAGGCTATATTCTAGGCATATCCTAGAATGTGATCCTCAAAATAACCTTAAGATATAAATATGATTGCTCCCATTTTACAGATAAGGAAACTGAGGCTCAGGTTTTTCTCAGCCTCATCAGCAACATAATTAGCTAGTAAATCCCTAACGTTAGACATAGTATTGAAGTGCCTGGTCTCCTCCAGGGAGGTCAGAATAGAAGTCAGAAAGAGAGGTCTGCTCTTTTGAGGTTCCTAGGCTTATACCCTTGAGTATAAGGGACGTTTGTTAGGGTATTACCCCTCATTGCCTGATTTGGGTGTATTGAGAACTTCTGGGGATCTCACCTCTGTTCATAGTCCCTTCTGAGACTTGAACACTGATTATGTCTCCCTTTCATATGCTTGCACTCAGCATTTTTTTTAAACTCCTGGGGAGTCATTTTCTCTACTTAGCATGTGCCTAATCTTAAATATCTCTTTCCTAATGTCTCATCTTTTTATCAGTCAACATCAGGGCTAATTCCATTAAACACATGTACATAGTACATGCTCTCATATGTGTGTGCATACACACACACACACACACACACACACATAGACACACACACAGAACCATGTGGCCCTCCATTAAAGTTCTCCTAAATATTGTGATCCATGTTCAAAGAGGTGATATTATTTGCAAGTTGACTGTTCCTCCTATTTCACCTCTATGTTTGGTTATCTTTGCCAAGCAGACAGAATGAGTTTTGGAGGTGGGACAGGGAATAGGAAATAGTTTCTGCATGAATGATGGAGAGCTTTGGTAGTCAGAATGATTGAGGGCCAGCTATTAAAATGTTGTTGTTGTTTTCCTTCTTGGTCTGTTCTATTTTTTTCTTTTCCAAATTGTCTTGGAAATAATTTCCTGCTCACTAGTATTGAGATAGTGATGGTTATTCTGTTCCACTGGAGAGTGTTGAATTGGAATGTTTCCACTGGGCTTTACAGGTGCCCAGAGTGGCCTAGTGTTTGACGCACCCTGCAGGCATGCCGCTGAGAATACATTCCTGCATTCCCCTCTCTCCATGTTTTAAGCCACACTCCTTTATATCTACTGAGAGGTGAGGGGTGCATTAGGCCCATTTTTATGGACGAGAACCCTGAGGGGCGATTTAAAGGAATGTCTTTGTGAGAGTCTCCGTGAATTCTCTGGAGGGTTAGCTAACTTAAAGCAAGTGAAGTCCTAGTCTCTGAGAAAAAATTTCTCAGCTGTTTTCATCTTTCAAGCTGGCAGTAAAAAGTCTTTTAAGATAGATTGTTATTATTTGTTTTTTGGAGATCCCGTTGTTGGGTCTACAAGTGCATGACAATATTCTTCTTGCAATATTGAGCTATGCGAAAATGGAGCACTCTAAAGAACAATTTGACCAATAGCGTTTCTTCTCTGGGGTTGTATTTCAAACCTTGCAACTCTCTCCAGGGAACCAGAACTAAATTGCTTAAAATGAAGTCATCCCTCAGATTAACTTCCTCAGATAAGGTGTCAGCAGTCTACACAAAGAAGACAAAACTGAGATTATCATTCATAATTCTCTCTTATGTATTGTGTCAGTGAAACAGTGAGTTTGCATTATTGCAATCCTAGAACATTCTTCATTAGCCCTGGGTCATGACCTCTTCCAGTTAATTCTCTTTCACACCTTTAGGAAAGATTTAAGATGAACCTTCAATAGGATATTAATGTTACTCGTAGCCAATACCACAGCTGCCTTTCAAATTAATAAGGTTAATTGTTCTCCAGCAAACATGAGTTTGTCTTTGGCGTTTTAAAAACTTCCCATTGATCTGACATTTTGCTGTTTTAAGTTTTAAAGGGCTCACATCAAAGACTACTGATAACTGAGCAAAGAGTGAAGGTCCAGAAATATGAAAACATTGTCGTATTTTTCCATGAAAAAAACCATAGCTTTTTAAATTCAATTGAAGTTTCTACATTAGCCATCTAAGACTTACTGAGTTACTTCCATTCTCAGTCAAGGTAATTCGAGTGAATGAACAGTACTGACTTTTTAAATCTTTTTTAATTTTTTAAACTCTAGTTTATTAAGTTTGTAGACCCAGCTCTGGGGCCATGACCACTTATAGAATGTTTCAATTTAAAAACAAAAGATTCAGGCTTCTAATTTGAGCCAAATCCAGGTGATCTTGTTTGAAAATTTTGATGAATTTAAAAAGATGAAAGTGTAACTTGTAACATTCATATTACCCAAATTTTTCACTGGGAAGGGATGCTAATTGTCTACTTAAGATATAAATTCAAGAATCACATTTTCATAGAAAATGCAGAAAACTGCTTGACACAGCAATGACATAGCTAGATGTGGCTCAGATACAGTCCAAACCTGAGGGTCCCCTAAGATTTCCTTACCAGTTCTTTTTAACTATGAATCTTAATCTTGTTCATTCCCCTGCCAAAACAAATTTATAATCTTAAACTTGCTGAATTAATTGGCATAATTCACCGTAGTTTATATCACCCCAGAATGTTTATGTGTATGTGTTTATGTATAGTATACATATTTTCAAGCTGAATGTTCAGAAAAAATAAGGTGAGTTTATTGGTGGCTTGAATAAGAATTAGATCATAAAAATTATAAATAATGGCCTTCTCAGAAAAAGAGAGTAAATGATTCATTTTTCACTCACGTATTAATAAAATGACTTGTTGCATAATACGCAAGCTGGTCATTGCCTGCAAGAAAGTTAACTGAATTAAGCAGCTATCCAGGTTTATGTCTGAGTCCATTTTTAACCCAATATGGCTAGGATTGAACTCCATATGCAGAGGGTTTCTATTCACAGCTACGTTCAAACAGAATCTAAAACCCACATCAGAAGTGACTTGATCTCTTGTATGGTGGAGCTCAAAGCAAGCTGTGTGCTCTACACTATGGTCTTCATTTGGGAATTAATGTTCACTGATCAGCTGCAGCAGTTTATATCTGTCATGTTTTAATCCACTGCATGAGGAAGTGCTAATAACTGTATTAAATATTTCCAAGCATAGCTACAAAATTACATGTTTGCTTAACACCTTTCTATGATAGAGGAAGTATATACTATGGTTGTCTTCTTGTAGTATGTCTTTTAATTTTGTTCAATGTGTTATCAACTGTTTTAAGGAATGGGGATTGAAATGTGTGTGCAAACTGATATGTACATAACTCCTGAGGCAACAGAAGTGCCCGGTCATATGGTGTAAAAATGTAAATACAGGAAAATTTCATTTTTCTAATAAAGATAATTTCTGCCAATTGATATGAAAATGAGAACTTGAGTTGTGGTCTTTGTTGTTGTCATTGTTGCTGCTGTTGTAAGCATCACTGTGTTAGTCTGTTTTGCATTGCTACAAAAGCATACCTGAGGCTGAATAATTTATAAAGAAAAGAGGTTTCTTTATCTCATTATTCTGCAGGCTGTACAAGCATGGTACCCGCATCTGCTTGGTTCCTGGTGAGGCCTCAGGAAGCTTTTAGTCGTGGCGGAAGGGAAGAGGAGCCTGTGTGTCACAGGATGAGAGAGAGCAAGAGAGAAATGTCAGGCTTCTTTAAACAACCAGCTCTCTCCTGAACTAATAGAGAACTCACTTATTACCAAGCCATTCACGAGGGATCTGCCCCTTTGACCCAAACACATCCCACTAGGCCCCACCTCCAACTTCTGGTGATCACATTTCAGCATGAGATTTGGAGGGGACAAATACCCAACCATATCAATTGCTAATGTTTCAGGCAGGCTTAATGTTTGTACAAAGGGGAAATGACTTCTCCCCTTTGTGCAAGGGGAGAGGGTAGAGGGAGGCATGGAATTCAAGACAATTCTTGGCTTGGCTTTGGGATTTCAGCCAAGAGCTTAGCCATTGTCCCATACCTAGATTGTGTCTTCCTGTGCACTTCCTGTACTTGCAGCCTTGACCCTGATAATGTTGACCTTTACCAAGAACACCCTTATTGCAATAGGAACAGAGGGGTTCTTGCAATAGGAACAGAGGAACAATTGCAATAGGAAGAATTCTCTGACAATAAATCTGCAAGCATCTCAGAGTTAGGCAAAAAGGTTTTTCTTTTAGAAAGAAGTAAATAAAGCTAGAAAGAACAAAGTATAGGAAAGTGAGATAAACAGGGGTGGCAAGAATAGGAGTCTTACCTATGTCACATAGGTAAGGCACTCCCGCCTTGTTTACCCATACCAAGGCCAGACACAGGCCCTCCAAATGCCTATTCTTTGCCTCATAAATGATTAACTGAAATCTCCACTGATCAGTCAGAACAAAATGCTTGTTAACCAAATGTTGGTTAAGCTTCTGTCCTTCTCCAGGTCCTTGAACTCTGGCCAAATCTCAGCCTGAGCCAGCCTAAATCCTCACCCTAACAGCTCCTCCTGGGAATAGGCAAGTCTTAAATTCCCCATCTATCCATCTTCTGTCCAATTATGCATCTCCTGTTCATCTCACTTTCCTATACCCTGATCTTTCTAGCTTTGTGTACTCCTCCCTATAAAAGAAAAACCCTTTTGCCTAACTCTGAGATGCTGCAAATCTATTGTCAGAGCATTCTCCCAATTGCAATAGGTCCTCTCCCCCTATTGCAAGAATCCCTCTCTCCCTCTGCAATAAAGCTTTTGAACAAAGCCTCTCTTTACTAAACCCAGATTTGAATTTTGTTTGACAAGCCCTGTCTTCAGATCAAGTGACATTTTTACATTCCAAATCTGACCATGTCAGTTCCACCTCTCCTTTACTTAAAACCTTTAGCTTGATGCCCCATGACCCACAGAGAAAGCCCAATTCCTTGCCATATTGCACAAAGCTTTCTAACCCCTGCCATACCACTTTCTACCCTGTGTCTTATCCCATACCTGAATCAAAGATCTTTCCGCCCTTCACCAACGACACCATGAGCTCTCTCATGTGCTATGCTTTTGTTCATGCTGTTCTTTCTTTCTGGAATGCTGGTATCCTTATCAATGCTTAATTCTCTTTTAGGGTCTATTTTAAAGATAAACATCGTCTTGGTCTTTCCAAGCTTCTTCCAGAAGGATAGTTGACAGTTGATTTCTCCATGATCCACAGCCTCATGTGCACACCTCTATTATATGATGCATTAGGCTTTAATTCATTGTTACGTGTGCTGCGTTTCCTTAGAATGTGAGCCTTTCCAAAACAGGGGCCATAAAATTGTTCACCTTTAAATCCTAGCACTCAGCTGAACATTTGATACTAAGCATTTTTGGATGAGTAGAAGCATAGCTAGATGGAAGAGTGGATGACTGTGGATGGTGGATAGATGGAGTGTTTCGAATCAGTTCTCAGCTTATGGTACTCTTCTACCAAGCTTATCTTAGTCCTGTGACTAAATGCCACTGATTTACCCCCACCTTTTAATATTTGGATTCAACTTTCTCCACAAGCTCTATACTCCCATCCATATTTGCACTTAGCAATCTTAAAGATATCCACAACCTAAGATATCTTGAAAAGTACTCTGGACAACTCATCCTCCCAACAGAAATCTGGTTCTCTGCCATTGTTCCTCACCTCGGGAAACTGCATAGCTATTGACCTGATATCTCAGGCCAAATGTCTACTAGTTATTCCTCCCTCCTCTATTCCCTTTAACATCCAATCATATGTCTTCATGACCCTTATTTTATTTTATTATTTTATTTATTTATTTATTGAGATGGCATCTCACTCTGTCACCCAGGCTAGAGGGCAATGGCACGATCTTGGCTCACTACAACCTCTGCCTCCCAGGTTCAAGCGATTCTCCAGTATCAGCCTCCTGAGTAGCTGGAATTACAGACATGCGCCACCATGCCTGGCTAATTTTTTGTATTTTTAGTAGAGACGGGGGTTCACCATGTTGGCCAGGCTGGTCTCAAACTCCTGATCTCAAATTATACGCCTGCCTTGGCCTCCCAAAGTGCTGGGGTTACAGGCATGAGACACCGCACCTGATCTTCAATGACCTTTAAAATACATTCAAGACCCATCTGTTTCTCATCACTCCTCCCCCATTACCCCAGTCCATCATCTCTGATATATACTACTGCCACAGCTTTCTATCCCATCTGCCTGCCTCTCCTCTGGCTTCCTTCTCTATCCATTCTCCAGACAGAAGACAGGGCAATCTTTTAAAAACATCAATTAGATGATATGATTCATCTGCTCCCAGCCCATTAGTATCTTTGCATCACAATCAGAATAAAATCCAAATTCTTCCCTATGACCTCAGGGTGCCAATTGGTCTGCCTCATCTTCTATTTCATCTTCTACCATTGCGCACACTCTCATTAAGATCCAGCCACACTGAATTTCTCTCACTTCAAACAGAGGCAATTCAGGATCTTTGTACTTGCAACTGCCTCTCCCTGTAACTCCATCCCTAGGTATTTCTGTTGTTTCCTCCTTTATTATACCAAAAGCTCTGTTTAAATGTCATTTCAGAAAGGCACTGTCTGACCACAATTTTTTTTTTTTTTTTTGGTGCAGGGTCTCACTGTATCACCCAGGCTGGAGTGCAGTGGCACAATCAGAGCTCACTGCAGCCTTAAACTCCTGGGCTCAAGTGATCCTCTCGCTTCAGCCTCCTGAGTAGCTGGGACTACAGGCATGCATCATCTTGCCTTTTTTTTTTAAGTTTTAGTAGAGATGAGGCCTCGCCATATTGCCCAGGCTGGTCTCAAACTCCTGACCTCAAGTGATCCTCCTGACTCCCAAAGTGCTGAGATTACAGGTATGAGTCACTGTGCCCAACCTGGCCACAGTATCTTAAATAGAATATCCCCCACCACTTTCTATTCCTATACCGTACTTTGTTTGTCCTTATAGCACTTAACGCCATCTGAAATTTTATCATATATTTATGTGTATTTGTTCATTGTACGTCTTCTTCACTGAATAAGAATAGCAACTAGATGTATGTCATTCACTGTTGAAGCACAAGTGGTGTCTGATCCATGGTGGGTATCAAGTAAATGTTGTATGGAATGCATGAAGAAATGGATGAATGGATCAATAATAATAGTTGATGAATGAAAAATTGGTTGGATGAATGAGTGGACAGACAGAAGGAAAGGGTAAGTACATGACTAGATGGATATGTGGCTAAATGGATGAAAGTATGAATGCATGAACTTTGGGTTCTATTCACCCAAATGGATGAAAGTATAAGTGCATGAAGGTTGGGTAAATAGAACCCAACCTTCATGCATTCATACTTTCATCCTTTGATTAGGATAAGTAGTTCCTGGCCTCCAAGCTCATCCACCTTGCTCCTGGGCACTTTCCATATGACAAGGTACAGTTTTTCCTTCAGAATTAGGGCCCCACATAGTAGTAACTAAAAGTGTATTCTCAACGGGGGGTTAAAACTATACTTCACGTCTCCTCAGTTTTCCCCCTAATCTCTTTAATCTTCCCAAAGATATTCAAAGGGCAGTTTATGAAGGATTCCTTATATACCAACCCCTGTGAACCCAGGACACATACAAAAGGGTTCATGGGGGCCCTGCTGAAATAGTAACCGAGCCCAGAAAGTCACATACAAGGCCGCAATACCTGACTCTGGCAACCAAAATTCTGTTTTCTGAGAGGCAATGGAACCAGGGAAGGAAGAAAAACCAAGTCTCTCATTCTCTCAAAATCCACGCATGCACTATGTACTTACTCTGGGGATTACAGGCTAGTGGTTGCTTCTGAATCTTTAAGATGATGGTGGCTTCCCGTAGAGACTCTTCTTTTTCAGGCCTAGGTTAGATTGCAGTTTCCTCACAGTTGGGTAAGGCTGGGATGTTCCTCCTCAGGATACCCCGAATGGCTGCCAAGTCCCACAGCCTTCTGGGAAAAAAAATGGCAGCTGCTCTAGTCTGAGGAAGTCAGTGCCTTCTTTCTGCATCAACAAGGCAGACCCTCTTCCCTAAAGGTGCAGAAGACTCAAGCCCCTTCTCTAAGTCTGACCTAACTCGATGGAGTGGAGAAAACCCTTGAGGAGAGTTTCTAGTGGGACATTGCCCCTGTGTTCATGGTAAGGGCAGGAATGGGACAGACTGATTGTCATGTGCACTGTGTGGCAAATAGCTTTCACTCACGGAAAGATTTGATCTAGGAAAGTTTGCCTGGGGCATAGTTGTAAATTCCAGAAACACTGATTTGTTGGAAGATCATGAAGATAAAGCTCAGGTGAGTAACAATCAGGCAAGGGGTCCCTAAGAATCCCGGTTTGTGGTCCTTAAAGAGAGTTAGGTAGACAGTGCCTCAGGCATAGGT